GGAGGTAAAGGGCAATACTTTCAGCTTCCCTTTAGGCAAGGCCAAATTCGGAGCAATGCCAAAAATGCCAGTAAAAGGGTTTGGCTCAATTTGACGGTGAAGTACTTCATAAATCGTTTGAAAGACTGATGTCCAGAACTCATTCTAGGTGGGACACGTCCAGTACACTTGAAAGAGTGATGCAGGTGCGCTCTTACAGCTAACAACGTGATCCCTTTTGGCCCTGCTGTCCATGAGACCCTTGCAGTGGTGGCTCAGGACCAAAGGGTTTCCCCGAGGGGCGACCCCTGGTTATGTGGAAGAAACCTTGGTTCCTGTCCCAGGGCCCTGTGTTAGGAGCTTCTTGTCGTCTTGATGCTAATGTTGGATGCATAGGCGTCAGGACCCCCCCCCCCCCCCTATCTAAGGGTTGCCCCCCCTAAAATATCATTAAAATATGTGTGTTGTAAATAAAATAATGATATATTCTTAAAATAATTGTTTAAGAAATAAAATAATACAAATGCAAACGGGGCAACAACAAAAAACCGTTTTAAACATTTTGAGTCCCCCCTCCCTTAATAATAATAATAATAATAATATGTTTATTTTATATAGCGCCTTTCAGAAAACTCAAGGTCGCTTTACAATGAGTACAAATACACTTGACATGGAAACATGACATAGAAACGATACATATAGACAATGAAGGGTAACATAATAGAAAGAGCTACATATAGAAATCAGAACAGAGTCAGAGGTCAGGGAAACAAGTGACAAAAAGATGTGTTTTAATGTGGGTTTTAAAGTCGTGTAGTGATGAGAGGTCACGGATATGTTGGGGAATAGAATTCCAGAGAGTTGGAGCAGCGGTAGAAAATGCCCTTCCGCCAAACGATGACAGTTTGTGCCGTGGGATCGTTAAAAGACCAGTATCGGAAGATCTTAGTGTGCGGGCAGGGGAGTAGATATGGATAAGATCAGAAATATAGTTGGGGGCAAGACCATGGAGTGCTTTGAATGTAATAAGGATCAGACAGTCCGGTCTGAGAACTATGCACGGAAACATTAAGCAAACCAGCGGTGCAGACGAGATCAAGTGTGTGACCTTTTGAGTGTGTAGCAAAATCAACATGTTGTACAAGGCTAAAACATTCAAACACTGACAAAAGTTTGTGAGATTCTGCACAATCAGTATCAGCATGTATATTGAAATCACCAAGTAATATAACACAATGAGATAAGACAGAGGAAAGGGTTAACAGTTCATGCAGTTCACTGAAGAAATTTGACATAGGTTTAGGTGGACGATACAGGAGAATCAAGAGCGTTGGAGATGTACCAGAAACTTTAAGAACTAAATATTCAAAGGTTAAATGCGCGATGAGAAATAGTGGCGACAGGAACGATGGACATAGCGCGGTCGCCTAGCAATCCCGAGCTCCGTGCAGAGTTTGTATGCAGTCGCATCGAGACGAGGATGAGATTTCAGGCTACGCAGTTGGAGTAACGAATAGTTAAGCGCCATGGGTATGACACAGCTGAATAATAAGCCCAGAGTTAAAACTCCAAGCAGTTCAGAGACTGGGACATTGCGAGTAGAATGCATGATCAGACCGCAGAACAACACGACATCACTGGCAATTGAGAAACGCACTTCTCTTGCAGCACTCTCGTCGCTTATGCACAATCAACGCAGTCTAAATACCTTTCAGATAAATTGAATGGCTGGGGGTAACCAACCATTCTTGCCTCACAGTGCTTTGGTCCACTGCCTCCGCCCCTTTTACCTCACCACCGAGACACACACACATTCCGGTGGCGGGAGAGATGAACTATGTTTTTGAGTAGTTGTGGAACTCCAGTAAGTCAATGTTATTTTATTCCCTTTAAACATCGGATGAAGTGATTATTTTCTCTTTAATATAGATGATGCTGAGTCATTAATAAATCGTGTAAAAAACAAATATATGATTGTGTACTAATGTACTTTTGTCACTGATGTAGTCTGCTATGTTAGCGATTATAATGTTTAACGTTTACCTAGCTTGTTTAATACAGTAACGTTATATCCCCCCACACACACCCACACCCATAGAGTGTACGCATAGCCTACACTACGTGATGTAACGTTAGTCTTGTAGATTAGTCCGGGTGCGAATTTAGATTTTAAGGTTTTCACTGTGATTTAGTCTGTTTATATAATTTAATTAGTGTGGTGCTTGAACGCGTTCATTGAACGATAGTTCATGAACTCGTTCATATTCTGGGCGAACGTGAACTGAACGTGCTGTATTACTGCCTGATGAACGTTACTGTGAACGCGTTCATTCTGGTGTCTGTGAACGCACACTCTCTCAGTTTAACTTCGATCAATAGGGTGCCAGATTTCTATAGAGCCTTCCAGGCGAAAACCCGGCAAAAAATTCTTCAAAACCATACATTTTTTGTAAATAAGTTGTTTACACAAAACAACTTATTTACAAAAAAAATTATGGTTTTGAAGATTTTTTTGGTCAATTTAGTCAGCTTTTTCATTAAACCAGAAAGAAACTTTGAGAAGAAGGATAATGGAATGGTCTCCATGCTACACTAATAATAGTAGTAAGACTTTCCTCGGTGTACACATATCCTTGCAAGTAGAATTTTGCCTGTATTATTGGTGTCCCCTTCAAAAATTTCTCTTGAGAATTGTTATGTTTATTGTCCCCCCCAACATTTTGATGAAATTTTCGCCCCTGGTTGGATGCCTCCCTCACAGGCTGGGGGTGATCCTGGAAGGAGGGACCTCCATCTCCCATGGCACACCAACCATCTGGAGATGTTGGCTGTATTTCTTGCCCTCAAGAACTTCCTCCCAGACCTCAGGGGCCATCCTGTGCTCGTCCACACAGACGACACATCGGTGCTCTCCTATATAAATCATCAGGGGGGTTTGCGCTCGCGTCCACTATGCAAACTGGCACACCAAATCCTACTTTCACTCAGAGCAGCTTATATCCCTGGGGCCCAGGAGCAGTAATATAGGAGCAGTAATATAGGATCAGTCATATAGGATCAGTCATATAGGATCAGTCATATAGGATCAGTCATATAGGAGCAGTCATGTCATATAGGAGCAGTCATGTCATATAGGATCAGTCATATAGGATCAGTCATATAGGAGCAGTCATATAGGAGCAGTCATATAGGAGCAATCATATAGGAGCAGTCATATAGGAGCAGTCATATAGGAGCAGTAATATAGGAGCAGTAATATAGGAGCTCATATAGGAGCAGTCATATAGGAGCAGTCATATAGGAGCAGTCATATAGGAGCAGTCATATAGGAGCAGTCATATAGGAGCAGTCATATAGGAGCAGTAATATAGGAGCAGTCATATAGGAGCAGTTAAATAGGAGCAGTCATATAGGATTAGTCATATAGGAGCAGTCATATAGGAGCAGTAATATAGGAGCAGTTAAATAGAAGCAGTCATATAGGATCAGTCATATAGGAGCAGTAATATAGAAGCAGTCATATGGGAGCAGTCATATAGGAGCAGTCATATAGGAGCAGTCATATAGGAGCAGTCATCTAGGAGCAGTCATATAGGATCAGTCATCTAGGAGCAGTAATATAGGAGCAGTCATATAGGAGCCGTCATATAGGAGCAGTCATATAGGAGCAGTCATATAGGAGCAGTAATATAGGAGCAGTCATATAGGAGCAGTCATATAGGAGCAGTCATATAGGAGCAGTAATATAGGATCAGTAATATAGGATCAGTAATATAGGATCAGTCATATAGGAGCAGTCATATAGGATCAGTAATATAGGAGCAGTCATATAGGAGCAGTCATATAGGAGCAGTCATATAGGAGCAGTAATATAGGAGCCGTCATATAGGAGCCGTCATATAGGAGCCGTCATATAGGAGCCGTCATATAGGAGCAGTCATATAGGAGCAGTCATATAGGAGCAGTCATATAGGAGCTGAGGTCCTGTGGAGACGGGCCGAGGCCCGGGAAATGGAGGCTCAGTCATATAGGTGGTGGAGCAGATATGGTTGTTCAGCCAGGCTCTGTTTGCGTCACAAGAGACGTCTCACTGTCCACTCAGGTTCTCCCTCACGCATCCAGCTCCTCTCGGACTGGACGCGATGGTACAGACGTGGCCGAGGCTTCGCTTGTATGCTTTCCCCCCGATCGCTCTGCTCCCTGAAGAGGACCAAATCTGCCTGCTTCTTATAGCCCCGCGGTGGCCGGGCTGAGTATGGGTCCCCGATCTAGTGTCTCTGCTCAACGGGCCTCCTCTGGAAGCAGAGGGCCCCCAAGCAGAGGGCCCAATCATTCACCCCCGTCCAGAACTGTGGAACCTGTGGGCTTGGCCTCTGAGCGGGCCCTGCTCATAGGGACGGGTCTCTCAACTGAGGTTGTGGAGACCATTCTACACTCCAGAGCTCGCTCCACGAGGAAACTTTATGCCCTGAAGTGGAGAGTTTTCACTTCTTGGTGTAGTACTAGTGACCGTCAGTTGGACCCAGTTAACTGCCCGGTTGCTCCAGTGCTGGTGCCGGTTCACTGCAGGTCTATCCCCGTCCACTTTAAAGGGTGTACTCACACTAGGCACGGTTGCCATGAACCGGGCCCGAGTACGATTGTCCCCCCTCCCCACTCCCCCTCTGGCCTGCACTCACATAGGGTTTCAGCATTCGTGCCGGAGCACGCTTACGTCATTATGGTGCGTGCGACGGTTTCGGGATAAACAAACAAGAAGAGCGGCGCTCTCTGAACACAATGAAGTCCATCGCTCTGTTTTCTTTGTGGATAATTTTGTGTCGTTTGGTCCACGGTGGTCCACAGCCTGTTGTTAAACAGATGCGTCGCCTTAGTGGCGCGAACATTTTCACGTAATCGTGCTGCTCGTATGAGGAGGTTTGCAAGGTACCAGCTGAAGTGCAGCAAGGACTTTGCAGCTTTGATTACGGACTGTGTTGGTTTTGGAGCGTCGCAAAACCATGACGCCACGCGTCCTGTTCCGTGCTCCGGCACGGTTAGCGCTCACACTGCATGCGAACCGCGCCCGAGTCCAACTGAACCGTGCTCTGGCCCACCTCTTCCAAGCGGGCCAGGGCCGGCTAATCGAGCCGCGCCCGGGCACGGTTCGGAGCACTCACACTAGTCAAACGAACCGCGCTTTGGTGGTCAAACGCACTCGGGCACGGTTCAAACTGGCTAGTGTGAGTACACCCAAAGGTTCATGAGGCGGCCATATGTGCTTACCACATTCCTTTGGGTGGAATGTCTTCGGGTAAAGACCCGTTGGTATCTCGTTTCCTCCGTGGTGCTCTGAGGCTGACGCCTGCCGCTCGTACCAGGGTGCCGACATGGGATCTGGCCATTGTCCTGGCTCCCTTTGTGCCCATTGAGGAGGTTCCGGCCAAGTTTCTGACCTTGAAAGCTTTGTGCCTCCTCGCGATCTCATCTCTTAAAAGAATAGGAGATCTGCAAGCACTGTCGATGGCACCCTCGGGCTTGTAATTTGCACCTGGCATGGTTAAAGCATTCCTTCACCCTAGACCAGGCTACGTTCCTAAGGTCCCCACTAATGTGGCTAGATCTATTATGCTGCAGGCCTTTTGTCCTCCTCCTTTCCAGAACTCGGACCAGGAAAATAATAACCTGCTATGTCCAGTCAGGGCGCTAGATGCCTATGTCCACAGAGTGGTCGTAAATCTGAACAGTTGTTCGTATGTTTTGGACCCCCTAACAAAGGGTCCCCAGCATCTAAGCAGAGAATGAGCAAGTGGGTGGTCGAGGCTATCTCACTGGCTTAGAGGAGTTGGCCGAATACCTTCACCTATGGCTGTCTGTTCCCACTCTGCTATGAGGATGAGTATCCAAGGCCCTTATGACAGGAGTTGCTCTCCAAGATGTCTGTGATCCGGCAGACTGGTCCTCACCGCACACATTCGTAAGGTTCTACTCTTTGAACTTGGACCCCGGGTGCTCTCGTCCTGTAAGCGACTTGCTCAGACCTTAAGAAGCTAGCGCTGCTTTGTTTGGGCAGGCTTTATAGTTCCCTGGTTCCTGACGTTTCCACGGTTCTCTGATGTTCTGCCACACCATTGGGCTGATTTCACATGTGCTCAAGACATCATCACGCAAAGCGTTTCCTCAGCGTCAATCCACGCAGCGTCTCGATCCCTCTTCAGGGAACCGAGGTTACAGTCCTAACCGAGGCGTTATCTTTTTTTTAGTTAAGAGTTTAAATTACAGAATTTATACTTTATAATTCACAATTCCGACTTTTTTCTTGCAATTCCGAGTTTATGCCTCACAATTTTTAGTAAAAAATTTCAGAATCGCAAGTTATAAACTCGGAATTGCAAGAAAAAAGTTGCACCTTTATATTTCACAATTCTTATAAGTTGTACTTTATAACTCGCAATTTATGACTTTTTTCTTGCAATTGTAAGTTTATACCTCACAATTAAATAAAATGTCCCAATTGCAAAAAAAAAGTCAGAATTGCAAGTTTCTATATATATAAACTTTGATTTTTTTCCCTTTTTAATTGTGAGTTTAAATTGATGCTTTATAACTCGTAATTCTGAGTTTATATCTTACAGTTAAATAAAGTCAGAATTATGAGAAAAAATTCGCAGTTACCTTTTTGTTATTAAGTGTTTAAATTTCACAATTTGTACTTTATAATTCACAATTCCGTCTTTTTTCTTGCAATTCCGAGTTTATACCTCACAATTTTGAGGAAAAATGTCAGAATTTCAAGTTATAAACTCAATACATTTTTTTAAAAGTTGTAAGTTTATATTTCACAATTCTTAGAAATAACTTTTTTTCTTCTTGCAATTGAGTTTAAAATTGCGAGATAAAGTCGCAGTAAACTTTTTTAATTGAAAGTTTAAATCTCACAATTTGTACTTTATAACTCGCAATTTCCGACTTTTTTCTTGCAATTGTAAGTTTATACCTCACAATTTACTAAAAAGTCAGAATTGCAAGAAAAAAGTCAGAATTGCAATTTTATATATATAAACTTTGAAAAAATTACCTTTTTAATTGTGTTTAAATTTATGCTTTATAACTCATAATTATGAGTTTATATCTCACAATTGAAATAAAGTCAGAATTATGAGTTTATATCTCACAGTTCTGACTTTTTTTATTGATATAGGAAATCGTGAGATATAAACTTGATAAGCTTTAACCAAAAGCAAAACATTGTGACACATGATGACAATGGGGAAAATGTGTTTAATTGCCATTAAAAAAAGTCTCAATGCAAAATATCTAAAATAGGCTTTATTATGCAAAACATAATTTGTTGTTTCTTAGTGTGTTGTGGTGAAGATGCCAGTTTTCCTCAGTAGGGTGAGGATCTGTCACAGTTTCAGTGTGACGACGGCGCCATCTAAAGGCCTCCAGTAAACATGCACAGAAATGGAACATCATGTTTGTCTGAGCAACAGAGAACGATGCGCTGAATGATCATTTATATGCTTTTTAATGGCATTAATAATAATAATGTAAGTGTAATTTTTTCCAAGTGTTGTAGCCTGTTATTAAAATTCATGCTATTATATTGAATTATATTCTTTATATTAATAATTCAATATGTTGAATTATTATGAAGTCAGCAGTACAATTAAGGAAACGATACACTGAAACGCATTTCAAAGTTGTTGGTTTGGTCTTTTCTGGAAGTCTCTGACATTTCAGAGAGAAATTATCATTCACAGGAGGAGCGCTTACCATAATTAATAGCCAGCATCGCAAATGATGCTAATGGATATTTAAACGAGCACTTACTGCTGCTTTGAGGGACAGAGATGGGCAATTAGCAGTGTGTGTGTGTGTGAGTGAGTGAGTGAGTGAGTGTGAGTGTGTGTGTGTGTGTGTGAAAGTGTGTGTGTGAAAGTGTGTGTGAGTGTGAGAGAGAGAGAGAGAGAGAGAGAGAGAGAGAGGGGGAGTGTGTGTGTGTGTGTGTGTGTGTGTGTGTGTGTGTGTGTGTGTGTGTGTGTGTGTGTGTGTGTGTGTGTGTGTGTGTGTGTGTGTGTGAAAGTGTGTGTGAGTGTGAGAGAGAGAGAGAGAGAGAGAGGGAGTGTGTGTGTGTGTGTGTGTGTGTGTGTGTGTGTGAGATAATACTAATATAGTGTGTATTGTCTGCAGGTATCTGGTGTTCTACTGTCCTCTGGATGCCGTTTACTCACTGTTGTGTGTGTGTGAGTGTGTGTGTGTGTGAGATAATACTAATATAGTGTGTATTGTCTGCAGGTATCTGGTGTTCTACTGTCCTCTGGATGCCGTTTACTCACTGTTGTGTGTGTGTGAGTGTGTGTGTGTGTGAGATAATACTAATATAGTGTGTATTGTCTGCAGGTATCTGGTGTTCTACTGTCCTCTGGATGCCGTTTACTCACTGTTGTGTGTGTGTGAGTGTGTGTGTGTGTGAGATAATACTAATATAGTGTGTATTGTCTGCAGGTATCTGGTGTTCTACTGTCCTCTGGATGCCGTTTACTCACTGTTGTGTGTGTGTGAGTGTGTGTGTGTGTGAGATAATACTAATATAGTGTGTATTGTCTGCAGGTATCTGGTGTTCTACTGTCCTCTGGATGCCGTTTACTCGCTGGCGTCGGTCTGGCCCGTTCGACTGGTCTTGACGGGGATGAAGGAAGTGACACGTACGTGGAAGGTTGTGGGCGGAGTCACTCAAGCGGGCAGGAAGTACAAAGATGGTCTGTTCGTGATGATCGCAGTGGGTTGGGCCAAAGGTGTGTGTTTACCATGTGCTCTGGAGTCTAATTACACTCATCCATCTTTGTGCGGGTTTTCATTCTTTCTTCTTTTTGTTCGTATTTCGAGCGCTTTGTTGCATCAGGATGTGACAGTATTCTTGGCTTGACATTTTAATGTTTAAAAGCTCAAGGTTATTTTTCAGAATTTCATCACACTCATTATTAAACCCATGATGCATTTCACCCCGCCGTCCTTCAATTACACAGAGAAAAGGTTTGAAATATCAAGAGGTCGAGGTGACTGTAATTACGATCGGCGGCGAAATGATAAAAGTTTATGAGAGGAAGCGCATCAGCCAGCGGAGCGGCAGAACCGAACGAGTCCGGGGATGAACAATTCACTGAATTATCACACTTCTGCAAATTTGGGAAAAAAGGCATGATGTTTCATAATTTGATTCCAGCTAACCAACATATGTTTTAAGATTGTCTTGCTGACGTCCCCTTTAAGTTATGAAACCTTTTTTCTGAATGTTCGTGGAATGTTCACAATGTTTAAAACAAATGATTTTTCTTGGTTATGTGAACGTTAAGGGAACATTCCATTGTATCATTCTTCAAACATGAGTCCTTTAAAATTGAGACAAGAACACTATAGATCTATATATAACCCCATTTAATCTTTTTTGACATAAAGGTTCTTTAGAATTGAGTCAAGAACCCTAGAGTTCTATACAGAACCCAATTGAACCTTTTTGGCATAAAGAGTTCTTTAAAATGAAGTCAAGAACCCTAGAGTTCTACATAGAGCCTCTTTGAATCTTTTTTTTTTTGGCATAAAAGGTTATTTAAAATAAGAACCCTAGAGTTCTATATAGAATCCCATTGAACCTTTTTGCATAAAAGGTTCTTTAAAATTGAGCCAAGAACCCTAGAGTTCTATAAAGAACCTCATTGGACCTTTTTGTGCCTGTAGGTGCGGGCGGAGGCCTCATCAGTAACTTTGAGCAGCTTGTTCGAGGCGTCTGGAAGCCTGAAACCAATGAACTACTGAAGATGTCATAGTAAGAGTCTCAAAGGCCTCATGAAGCTCCTGAAACACATGTAGACTCACTGTGTGACGATCTGTTCCTCTTCACTAACGTCACTTCTTTATGTTTGACATCTCATTGTGTCTTTGAATCAACCTGTGTTTTGCTGATTTGTAATGCATGTACAGAATGAAGTCAGGTGTAGTTCAGATATGTCTGAGTGTGTGAATGTGCATTTTAAAAATAGATAGACAGGGTCTAATTTAGGGGTGTACTGACACTGATTCGATTAAATTTCAGATCATAAGGTTGCGATTTGATCCTAATTCGGTTCAGTTTGATTAAAAATTGAGTCAAGAACCCTAGAGTTCTATATAGAATTCAATTGAATATTTTTGGCATAAAGGTTCTTTAAAATTGAGTCAAGAACCCAAGACTTCTTTATAGAACCCAATTTAAACTTTTTTGCATAAAGGTTCTTTAAAATTGAGTCAAGAACCCTAGAGTTCAATATAGAACCACATTGAACCTTTTTGGCATAAAGGTTCTTTAAAATTGAGTCAGGAACCCTAGAGTACTATATACAACCACATTGAACCTTTTTGGCATAAAGGTTCTTTAATATTGAGTCAAGAACCCTAGAGTTCAATATAGAACCACATTGAACCTTTTTGGCATAAAGGTTCTTTAATATTGAGTCAAGAACCCTAGAGTACTATATAGGAACCCATTTTTATCTTTTTGGCATAAAGGTTCTTTAAAATTGAGTCAAGAACCCTATAGTTCTATATAGAACCACATTGAACCTTTTTGGCATAAAGGTTCTTTAATATTGAGTCAAGAACCCTAGAGTTCAATATAGAACCACATTGAACCTTTTTGGCATAAAGGTTCTTTAATATTGAGTCAAGAACCCTAGAGTTCTATATAGAACCACATTGAACCTTTTTGGCATAAAGGTTCTTTAAAATTGAGTCAGGAACCCTAGAGTACTATATAGGAACCCATTTTTATCTTTTTGGCATAAAGGTTCTTTAAAATTGAGTCAAGAACCCTATAGTTCTATATAGAACCACATTGAACCTTTTTGGCATAAAGGTTCTTTAATATTGAGTCAGGAACCCTAGAGTTCAATATAGAACCACATTGAACCTTTTTGGCATAAAGGTTCTTTAATATTGAGTCAAGAACCCTAGAGTTCTATATAGAACCACATTGAACCTTTTTGGCATAAAGGTTCTTTAATATTGAGTCAAGAACCCTAGAGTTCTATATAGAACCACATTGAACCTTTTTGGCATAAAGGTTCTTTAATATTGAGTTAGGAACCCTAGAGTTCTATATAGAACCACATTGAACCTTTTTGGCATAAAGGTTCTTTAATATTGAGTTAAGAACCCTAGAGTTCAATATAGAACCACATTGAACCTTTTTGGCATAAAGGTTCTTTAAAATTGAGTCAGGAACCCTAGAGTACTATATAGGAACCCATTTTTATCTTTTTGGCATAAAGGTTCTTTAAAATTGAGTTAGGAACCCTAGAGTTCTTTATAGAACCCAATTGAAACTTTTTGGCATAAAGGTTCTTTAAAATTGAGTTAGGAACCCTAGAGTTCTTTATAGAACCCCATTGAATATTTTTGGCATAAACGTTCTTTAATATTTAGTCAAGAACCCTAGAGTTCTATATATAACCACATTGAACCTTTTTGGCATAAAGGTTCTTTAATATTGAGTCAAGAACCCTAGAGTTCTATATAGAACCCCATTGAATCTTTTTGGCATAAAGATTCTTTAAAATTGAGGCAGGAACCCTAGAGTTCTATATAGAATTCAATTGAATATTTTTGGCATAAAGGTTTTTTTAAATTGAGTCAAGAACCCTAGACTTCTTTATAGAACCCAATTTAAACTTTTTGGCATAAAAGTTCTTTAAAATTGAGTCAAGAACCCTAGAGTTCAATATAGAACCCTGGAGTTCAATATAGAACCACATTGAACCTTTTTGGCATAAAGGTTCTTTAATATTGAGTCAAGAACCCTAGAGTTCTTTATAGAACCCAATTGAAACTTTTTGGGATAAAGGTTCTTTAAAATTGAGTCAAGAACCCTAGAGTTCTATATAGAACCACATTGAATATTTTTGGCATAAACGTTCTTTAATATTGAGTCAAGAACCCTAGATTCGATTCATTTGGATACATATATCAGGTACGGTACATGTAAATTTTCTCAAAGAAAAAAAAATCTCTCTGAACTAATGATGGCTGGTGCTACACATAATGTCACACGGCTCAGACTAAAAGATTGATTCATCAAAATGAGAATCGATATTTCTAACCCAGTCCTAGTCTACTGTAAATGTCTTTTAGGTTCTCCAGTATGACAGACAGATGTGAACCGTCTCATAAAGGAAATTCACTATTTCTCTGTTAATTAATTTTCATGTTAATGTTAAAGTTATAAAGCAGTTAGAAGTGTTTTGCATTATTGATTGAGTTTTTGATGACTGGCGTTGGAGTCTCTCTTGTGCCTTTTGTTCGTTGTGCATTTCGTGTCCAGAGTCTCTTTCTTTCTGAATAATAGCGTTCGGTGGAGTAATTGGCTTCTGGATTGATTTCCTCTCGTCTTCAGCCGACACTTGTTGTCATGGTTTTTGTGCGAGTGGCATTTAAAAAGGTTTGTGTGGAAGAACGCAGGAGAGTAAGCGTCGCTCTGAAGACCAGAGGGATTTCACCGGGTTTATGTGCAGAAGAAAACAATCTTATTTTGATCAGAAAAAAAAATCGACTTGCAGAGTCTGTTATGGTACATGAAAAATAAGAATTTCATTTGTAGTATTATATACACTAGGCCTACCCGTCAAGAGTTTCGGATCGGTACGATTTTTTATGTTTTTAAAAGAAGTCTCTTCTGCTCACCTGCTCAAGGCTGCATTTAATTGTTTAAAAATACGGTAAAAAAATCATCATATTAGAGTGATTTCTGAAGGATCATGTGACACTGAAGACTGGAGTAATGATGCTGAAAATTCAGCTTTGATCACAGGAATAAATTACATTTTAAAATGTATTAAAATAGAAAACAGTTATTTTAAATTGTCATAATATTTAACAATATTACTGTTTTTTTGTTGTTGCCTTTGTGAGCAAAAGAGACTTCTTTTAAAAACATTAAAAATCTTATCGATCAAAGACTTTTGACTGGTAGTATATATACACACACACACACACACAATTTCCCTAGGCCGGTCACTGTTGGCCACTGCTGTAGTTGCAGAGTGACGTCAAACTCGACACATTGATGTTGAATGTGTGTCGCAGACGTGTGTTAATTGTGTGTTTTAGAATCTTAGAGCTGTTATATTTAAGGCCCACTGAACTCCTCGTCCTTGTGTGACCTTTGACCTGTGTGTGTGTGTGTGTGTGTAGCCCGACCAAGGTCACCCTGCTGGGATCGGTTCTGTTCTCGCTCCAGCAGTGCCGCTTTCTCCCGATGCAAACACACCACCTGATCTTCATCTACACACTCTTCATCGTCTCCAATAAGGTTTGTTGTGTTTGTCGTTTTGTTTCAGACTGAAATTAAACATCTCCTGGTGTCATGAATCTAATGCATTAATAATATTTCAGAGTTTTTCATTTAAATTTGATCAAATAAATGCAGCCTTGGTGAGCAGAACAGACTTAACATTGTAATTGTAATAATATTTCACAATATTACTGTTTTTTTTGTTGTATTTTTAATCAAATAAATGCAGCCTTGTTGAGCATAAGAGACTTCTTTTAAAAGCATAAAAAATCTTACAGATCAAAAACTTTTGAACGCCAGTGTATATTTACAAACTTTTATGTTAGATGCAATTAATCACGATTAATCGATTTGCCAGCACTAAATAAAACCCATGCAAAAGCAAACTCTGCATGAGAAACTATCCCACAATGCCCTGCGCACAACCTGTGACTACTTTTAGTTGTGTTGAGTATTTGATTAGAAAAGAAAAATACCTGTATTTATAATAGGAAGCCATTTACTGAATCAAACATGAGCATGTGACTTTTAGTTTGAACATACTATATCTTAAAACATTATTGGCAGTGCATTTGCGGCTCGTTTTCAAGCCAAACGAGGCTGATGTTTGATTGATGGTGTTTTAATTAGACAGACGTTTGGGTGAATGTAACGAGCGAGCTGCTAAAGCTCATGAACGTGTTCCTCTCGTCTCTTTGCCCTTCAGTAGTGATGATGATCCGCAGCTGTCCTGACGCTCTTGCACGTTTTTTGCATCATTTTCATGTAATTGCATCATTCTGCTTTAAAAAGAGTGAAGTTCTTCAGCGAGACTGACGGCAGATCTTGAGTTCTTCTGTGAGCTCGGAAACGTACTCTCGCTGTCTCACCATTTGACCTTCTACATCTTTGTTTCACATGTAGAATTATTAGTATATAGGCCCTTATCACACTTCCGCGTTCAAAACAAAGGAGAACTGTGTCATAATATTCCGAATCCAACGCATATTTTGTGATTTAAAGGGGACCGCAAAAGTGTGTGTGTGTGTGTGTGCAATACGTCAGAATCTTATCACCTTATTTAATTGCAGAACTAGAATACAAACAACATATCACATTAAAGAGCATTAGAATTAGAAAAATCTTAAAATCTTAATTATGACTAAAGTCTATTTTGTGGGGGATTTAATTAAAGGTTGGGGAAAACGTATTGAATTAAACAATAATGTTCACATTTTTTCAGGCAATTACTTTATGATGCTATCATCAAATTGAAGTTGTTTAAATAAAGGATTTTTTTTTTTTAACCCATAGACGATTATTAAAAAATAACTGTACTGTATGCATGTGTTCAGAATAGAGTTATGATCTGTATGCATGTGTTCAGAATAGAGTTATGATCTGATCTCTGTGGTTTCAGATGCGGATGATGATGATAGGTTCTTCATCGTATCCATTCTCATCGCTGGAGTCTGTCCTCTACAAGACTCTGTTTGTTCGACCTCTGAACTTTTCACCGCTGACTGACTCGACCCAGGGTTCAGATCAAACCTCGAAAAACAGCTCAATTTCCGAGCAGAAGAGCGCCAACAAGGACCAAAGAAACCCGGAAGAGGCCAAAAACGCCAAAAAGAAAGATTGAGGACGACTGAAAGATTGAGGACTCATAAAAGATTGAGGACTCATAAAAGATTGAGGACGACTGAAAGATTGAGGACGAAAGAAAGATTGAAGACGACTGAAAGATTGAGGACGACTGAAAGATTGAGGACGACTGAAAGATCGAGGACGACTGAAAGATTGAGGATGACTGAAAGATTGAGGACGAATGAAAGATTGAGGACGACTGAAAGATTGAGGACGAAAGAAAGATTGAGGACGACTGAAAGATTGAGGACGACTGAAAGATTGAGGACGAATGAAAGATTGAGGACGACTGAAAGATTGAGGACGAAAGAAAGATTGAGGACGACTGAAAGATTGAGGACGACTGAAAGATTGAGGACGACTGAAAGATTGAGGACGAAAGAAAGATTGAGGACGACTGAAAGATTGAGGACGAAAGAAAGATTGAGGACGACTGAAAGATTGAGGACGACTGAAAGATTGAGGACGACTGAAAGATTGAGGACGAAAGAAAGATTGAGGACGACTGAAAGATTGAGGACGAAAGAAAGATTGAGGACGACTGAAAGATTGAGGACGAAAGAAAGATTGAGGACGAAAGAAAGATTGAGGACGAAAGAAAGATTGAGGACGACTGAAAGATTGAGGACGAATGAAAGATTGAGGACGACTGAAAGATTGAGGACGACTGAAAGATTGAGGACGACTGAAAGATTGAGGACGACTGAAAGATTGAGGACGAATGAAAGATTGAGGACGACTGAAAGATTGAGGACGACTGAAAGATTGAGGACGAATGAAAGATTGAGGACGACTGAAAGATTGAGGACGAATGAAAGATTGAGGATGAAAGAAAGATTGAGGACGAATGAAAGATTGAGGACGAAAGAAAGATTGAGGACGACTGAAAGATTGAGGACGAAAGAAAGATTGAGGACAAAAGAAAGATTGAGGACGAAAGAAAGATTGAGGACGACTGAAAGATTGAGGACGAATGAAAGATTGAGGACGACTGAAAGATTGAGGACGACTGAAAGATTGAGGACGACTGAAAGATTGAGGACGAATGAAAGATTGAGGACGACTGAAAGATTGAGGACGAAAGAAAGATTGAGGACGAATGAAAGATTGAGGACGAATGAAAGGTTGAGGACGAAAGAAAGGTTGAGGACGAATGAAAGATTGAGGACGACTGAAAGATTGAGGACGAATGAAAGATTGAGGACGAATGAAAGATTGAGGACGAAAGAAAGATTGAGGACGACTGAAAGATTGAGGACGAATGACGACTGAAAGATTGAGGACGAATGAAAGATTGAGGACGAATGAAAGATTGAGGACGAAAGAAAGATTGAGGACGACTGAAAGATTGAGGACGAATGAAAGATTGAGGACGACTGAAAGATTGAGGACGACTGAAAGATTGAGGACGACTGAAAGATTGAGGACGAATGAAAGATTGAGGACGACTGAAAGATTGAGGACGAAAGAAAGATTGAGGACGAATGAAAGATTGAGGACGAATGAAAGGTTGAGGACGAAAGAAAGGTTGAGGACGAATGAAAGGTTGAGGACGACTGAAAGATTGAGGACGAATGAAAGATTGAGGACGAAAGAAAGATTGAGGACGAAAGAAAGATTGAGGACGAAAGAAAGATTGAGGACGACTGAAAGATTGAGGACGAATGAAAGATTGAGGACGACTGAAAGATTGAGGACAACTGAAAGATTGAGGACGACTGAAAGATTGAGGACGAATGAAAGATTGAGGACGACTGAAAGATTGAGGACGAAAGAAAGATTGAGGACGAATGAAAGATTGAGGACGAATGAAAGGTTGAGGACGAAAGAAAGGTTGAGGACGAATGAAAGATTGAGGACGACTGAAAGATTGAGGACGAATGAAAGATTGAGGACGAATGAAAGATTGAGGATGAAAGAAAGATTAAGGACGACTGAAAGATTGAGGACGAATGACGACTGAAAGATTGAGGACGAATGAAAGATTGAGGACGAATGAAAGATTGAGGACGACTGAAAGATTGAGGACGAATGAAAGATTGAGGATGAAAGAAAGATTGAGGACGAATGAAAGATTGAGGACGAATGAAAGATTGAGGACGAATGAAAGATTGAGGACGACTGAAAGAAAGATTGAGGACGACTGAAAGATTGAGGACGACTGAAAGATTGAGGACGAAAGAAAGATTGAGGACGAAAGAAAGATTGAGGACGAAAGAAAGATTGAGGACGAATGAAAGATTGAGGACGACTGAAAGATTGAGGATGAAAGAAAGATTGAGGACGAAAGAAAGATTGAGGACGACTGAAAGATTGAGGACGACTGAAAGGTTGAGGGCGAATGAAAGATTGAGGACGACTGAAAGATTGAGGACGAAAGAAAGATTGAGGACGAAAGAAAGATTGAGGACGAATGAAAGATTGAGGACGACTGAAAGATTGAGGACGAATGAAAGAAAGACGGTTTTCCTGTATGTGAATTTTCTACACGATTCCTGCTGATGATTTTTTAAAAATGCACGAATGCTCTTTTTATCGGAATGTCTTGTACATATTTGCTATTCTGAAGTGCTTCACAGAAAATTCTATTCTATTCTATCCTGCAATGACAATGATAATATATTTTATATAATTTATAATGCATTTATGAATGCAATCACTCGAAGTAGAATGCTGGAACATGTTTCACTGTACGTTTTGAATGCAGAAATAATATAATTCACTGGTTCTGACTCGTCTGTTTGATGTCTGTGCGTAAAACATCAACATTTCTCTGCAAAAAGCGATGAATAATGAGTGATGAAACGCACTGGCAAGTCCAGGTGAACAGGTGAAAATGCTCTTGATTGATGTTTAAGTGATTTAAGTGAATGTTCATGACTGGAGCTGAACTAATGGATGCAACTGTACATAAGCTATGTTTCCATCCACACGTTTTTATCCGAATTAAGTGATATCGAATGAAAAATGCCTTATGGAAACAGTAAAATTCGATTGAATTTCATGAATATTGACTCAAATGAAATCCGTTCGGTCTCATCGGATTTTATCTAGATCGATATACGGCTTATGCGATAAACGCTGATGGAAACGTTATTTGCCGAATAAATAATGAATTGCGATTAAGTTGTAGGTCATAAGCGGGATAATGTATAGCGAGGCGGTTGTTATAGCGAACACAAACCCTTCAGGCTAACAACCGCCTCGCTATACATTATCCCTCACATATGTCGCTATCAGCTCGCACATAAGCACTATTAGCCTACAACAACTTGTGCAATATTGATCATTTGTTGGTAGATGGCGCGATCCATTTTGTCTAGCAAAACTTTGTTCGCAAATGTTTGCTTGAATGTTGTGCGATTCAGTGCAGAAATTAATGGAAACACATTAAAATGTCTCAAATCAATTCGATATAGCAATTTGATCGCAAAACAGCGTGTGACGTCATTACACACAGGTTTTTATTCGCTTTAAAGCCGTTGGATGGAAACACACTTTCACCAGCTTTATTCGCATTAGTTTTTTTATCGAACTTCAGATAATTTGATTGACAAGTGGATGGAAACTTGGCTATAGATAAGCCTAAAACGTAATTCTGTCATATTTGTTCCCAGATATCAAAAATATGTTCTTTGCGAAACCAAACAAAATTGGAAAAATAATGACTTTGATCAAACAGGTTTAGCTCCGCCCCCTCATAACCATTGGTTGAGCCGATGTCAATCAAACGTGTAATTCTACTAGTGGTGCAGAACTGAAGCACTTCTTCACTTTTATTCAGTTCATCAGTATGAATCAGTTTATTTCTAAGTGAAAGTTTATGACAGGAGCTGAAATAATGGATGCAACTTTACACATACGTGTGTATCATTCTTCAAACATTATGGGAAATGTTACATTTGTGAACGTTCTGAAACGAAGTTGGAACAAACAAAAAAGATTCACAAATGTAGTTTTATATGAATCTCCAAACAAGCGCAGCTCATTATTTCAAATGACGTGCTCTGCAGAAATTGGATTTGTTTTATTGTATCCGTCTGATTTATGTAATGGAATATGACTCTATGGAATATGTATTCCAGACAGCAGGAAGTGATTTTCATAATCATGCTTTAGGTTTGTTAATGAGCGATCAGCGGTACATAATCTCATTTACTGGTGTGAAGGAGCAATCAACATCTCAATTATTCCCGCCTAATATCGTCAAGGATTTCCAAACGGCCCGCGGCGGGAATTAGCTCTGCCAGGAATGAGCGTTGCCGTGCCAACAACAGCGTTCTGATGGAAAGAGCGGGAGATTTCCTTCCGTTGTCCTTTATGATGTCATCATGTGCCACACGCTGGATAAGGGTCTTTTACTTTTCCACTGTTGGAAACGTCGCTAGACTGGCGTCTTCAGCCGTTGCACTCGAGTCTTATGCACGACACGACATTCTAAAAACTAAGTAGATGAGTAAAGTTTGTGAACAAACATTGATTAAAAATAACTTTGAAAAGCTTGAAGTTTTGAAGAAAATTAAAGTCATGTTACTAGCATGATTTAACACGTTGTTAGCATGTTTTAACATTATTAGCATGTTTTAGCATAATGCTAGCATGATTTAATACATTGCTAGCATGTTGTTAATATGTTAGCATGTTGCTAGTAGATTATTAACATGATTAGCATGTTGTTAGCATGAGTTAGCATGTTGCAAACATGATTTAACATGTTCCTATCATGTTTTGACATGTTAGTATGATTCAGCATGTTGCTAACATGAATTATTACGTTGCTAGCTTGATTTGGCACATTGCTAGCATGTTTTAACACACTGCTAGCATAGATTAACACATAGCTAACATGAATTAGCATGATTTAACACATTATTAGCTTTTTTAACATTTAGCATAACATGATTTAGGCTAACACATTGCTAGAATGTTTAAGCATGTTTGCTAACATGCTGTTAGAATGATTTGCATGTTAGCATTTTGCTTACATGATTAAACACATTGCTAACATGATTTAGCACGTTGTTTAAATGTTTTAGCATGATACTAGCATGATTGAACATATTGCCAACATGATTTAGCATGTTACTAA